TTACTCTATCCTTCAATAACCAGGATTGGTATTACATCCGAAATAGAAGTGATCGGTGAAAAAATATCTATTTAATAACCAAAAATTAGGTTTCACAAATTACTTATATACTCAGAGCGCTGAGCCTTTGACTCTCCGATTTACGCTTTTACATTTACCTCAGTTGAATTCTTGAATTCCGTCTGGTTAAAAATTTGTATGAATTGATTATGAATTTTTCCCATTCATTCGTGAGATCATCTAGTCATTCAGTACTTAATCCACTTTTTATTATACCACGACATAATAATTCTTCGCCAATCAGCCTATTCCGATCTGTTAAAAATTTATGATATTTTCTGGTATCTTCATTCTTTTTTATTCCTCCACGATAGAATCGTATATCTCTCTCCAAATCACCACGGAAGCATCCCATGCTCCACCTTTTTTTCTCAGCCTCTGTAATAACTGAAAATTTCTCAGGATCTATTTTATGTTTGATAGCATATTGATAAAGGCAAGTTTTGTTTGGATGAATTGGTGAGTTACTGATTTTGTTTGGCACTACTATCTGAGTTTCCAGCAAACTTTGTACAGCAATTATAACTTTCTTTTGATCAATACGAAAAGGACAGTTAAGAAAATAGTGATTGTCTTTACCTAGACAGCTCCAGTCACCCCATATTCCTAAACGAGTATGTACTTCTTTGCATATCGGACATTTAGCTTCTGAGTTAGTATATTTAAAAACATCTCGGTACCATGCATTCGAATTAGTATAAGACAGGAAAGGAAAGCGTTTATGTACTGCTTCAATAATCATATCTTTCTCTTCTGGAAACTTGGAAATTTTGATAACACAGTCCTATGAAAGATGATTATCAGTCTTTTCGATTTGAGAGGATTCGGAAGTTTCAGAGTTTAACCAGGGATCAAGTCCAGTTTTTTTCTTATATCTTTTACAAAACCTAGAACGAATTTTATCTGTCAAAATGCTTGGCAATTCTGTTAATTTAGCTTCC